CCCGCCGCCGTCTGCGCTCCGCCCGGCCCGCCGAGCTGCTGATGCGCACTGGGCCGCGGAGGGGACCCGGGGGACCCCTGCCACCCTGCAGCGCCCCCGCCTGGTGCGCCGGCGGGTCAGGCGGGGCTGGTCCAGCCGAAAACCGCGGGTCGGGCTCCACCTAGGTGCGCAGGGGCTTCACTGCAGAGCCGGCCGCGCGGGTGGGGGAGCAGGGCTCGCGCGGCCTCCAGTGCACCCAGTCTCCCGCCCCCCACTGGGCAGTGGGGGGCGGGGGTATCCGGCCGAGGTGTCGCCACTGCCCAGGGCTGACCCACGGTGCGTTCTGAAAACGGCGCTTCTGCCTGGAAACACACATGCGCCATATCCGTGCCATTGTGAGTGACCTCCTCCAGGCCAGCTGCCGGGCACCCTAGCCTGTGGGCGCACAGTACATGCCGGCGGTCGGCTCCAGATGAAACAACGGGCTCCTTCCTGCCGTGGCCTCCCTCCCGCCTCTAGGAAGGGCAAGTATTTGTCTCAGGCCCCTGCCCCAGAGCAGGGGCATCTGTGTCCTGTTCGAGTTGCCCAGAGGCCAGAGCCAGGTGTAGCAGGCCTCAAGGCATTTTTGCCTGAGTTGAATTTAAAATTCAATTCCAAATGCCCAGCAAAGAGCTCCGGACAGAGGGTCAGGGTGGGAGCCTCCTCCTGAACCTCTGCCCCCACCTGTGTGGGTGAGTGGGGGACAAGGCCAATACCCAGTCCCAGAGAGTCCTTGTGAGTGGGAGGCAGGCCTGGAGGGCACAGTGCAGGGGGTTACATGAAGGCTGCTTCCTTCCTGCACAGATATTTATGTGCCAGGCGGGAAAAGAGGCCAGACCTGGAAGGGTTCTCAGAGGTCAGATAGGCCAAGCCCCTCTGTGTGCATTTAGGGAAACTGAGGCCTGCAGAGGCATGGACACCATCACCAAATCCAGCAACAAGGAGCAGGCCAGGACTAGCGCCAAGTTCCCTGCTGTCTGCCTGGCCTGATTCTGCTGTTTCCAGCCCCTCATCAGAGGTAAGGCCACCTGAGAGGCGATTCCACACCTCTGGCTGCGTCACCCCTCGAGCTCCCCACCCCACCATGTCATACGTGAGATGAGAATGTCTGGTCCAAGTCCTCACCTGGAGGAGTGGCCCCAGCCTCACAGGGTCCAGGCAGCTCAGGAGCTGCCTGGGGTGGAGGAGGGCGTTCTCTCCCCTCCTGCAGTCCTGTCTCAGCCCCATTTCCAGAAGCTCCTCGTGCTGCTCTTCTGACTATACCACTCCCCTCCCCAGGCGTTTTCCAGGAAAGCCCCACCTGCAGCAAGAACTCAGGGAGCTGCCCTGCCTCTAGGCAGAGCCTGACCTCCACCAAGGTCATGGGCCTTCCACCCTCACCTGGAGTGGAGCTCTCCACTTCAGAAGGCTTAAGTGTCAGCGGGGTGCTCATTACACATGCACATCCAGGACCCCAGGGGACCTCAATCAGGAAACAAAGCCCTCTGACATCCGCTGTGTCCCCAATCAGGTGCATATTATCTGAAATTTTGAAAATTGAAAAGTATTCTAAATTCAGCAGGGGAACTTTTAAAAGCTAACCATTTGGGGGATCCTTCTGTGAAGAGAATTAAAGAAAAGAAAGTGAAAGCTCATGAAGAGAAGCGTGGCCTGGATTTATTTCAACAGGTGGGATGGGAGGCCCTGCACTGTGGGGACCCGAGCATCCTCCTCCGACACCCAGATCTGCTACTGGTAAATGCGTGTGGCATCGTTTGTACCCTTGAAGAGGTAATACATGAAAAGGGTGGAAGTGTGGCAGGCGCCCCAAGAATCGGTGAACAGTGTGCCCCGTGCAAGAGGCCCAGGCCAGGTGCTCACAAGATGGGCACGGGGTGGAAGACCTGTATTTCCAAAGCACTACCTCAGGTTGTCCTCCGTCCCCCCTTCCAAACAGCTGCCGTCAGGCAAGGTTAGCTCAGGCAGAGCCAAAGGAATGTGTCAAGGACAGGGGTATCATCTGCCCAGGGAGGGCCCCCACAGTGCCGGAGGTGTGGACCTTGGATGGGGAAAGGTGCATTTTGTTTACTGTGTCTCTAACTGAAATCTGACATGAACTTCACTGAGCGTGGAACAGTTTAGGTGTAACTGTGATTTTATCACTAACAGAAATCGCGGGAATCTTCATACAATGGTACAGCTCTTGTGGATGACATCTTGGAATATCATTCCTGTTCACGCTTACTTCAAATTACCAGTGTCCCACCACCAGACGTTTTCATGTAATGATTTAATAAAGAAGCAAACATATTACTATATCAAAATAGATTTTCCAACATCTGATAAAACTGCATTTCGACATAACTGGTTTTCTTAGTAACTTTACGTATTTTATTTTATTCTGAGAAGGGTTCCGTGGGCTTCACCAGATTGCACAAACAAGGCTGCTCTGATGAGAAAGTGAGAGCCAGAGAGAGAAGCAGAGCAGAGTTGAGATCTTCGGCCATCCGCAGCCGACAGGGCCAGGAAGTCTAAGGCAGGACGATCCCTGGGGGCAAGTGCCCAACAAGGGACCCTGCTTGCCCTCTGCCCACTTCCAGGGAGACCCATCTGTCCACACACGTGCCTGTTCCCAGAGAACCTACGGTCATCTCTCCCAGTCAAGCAAGAGGCCCCTTGGCTACACAGGGCAGAGGGGATCCACACTGACCCGTTCCTACACCCAACTCAACCTTTCCTGCTCTGCAGAGAGAACCGGGCAAGCAGGACCACCGGCTGTCTGCAGCAAGGCAGTGGTGTGAAGAGAAGGAAGGCCCAGGACAAGTATACTTTACGCTTGACCATTAGGGGACAGAAATCAGAAATGATTCAGGGAGAAGTAAAAATAATAACAGTAATAATTCTAAATAGCATCATTCCCAAAGAAATTTAGGAGAATGCAGTACCAGTAAAAGATGATGAAAAAAAGGAAAAAGAGAGAATGAGAAGGACATCTCGGAGAGCAATGTGACTGATCAATTTTAAACTCTCCGGGATGAACTGAGGAATAAAATGGGCATGACTAAAACTAGGTGTGGGAAATAAAGTCAGAGAAGTTCCCAGAACAGAGAGCAAACGGAGAGAGGGATGGCAGGCAGAGAAAAGTTGAAACATGGAGGGTATATCCTGGGTGTCAAACTCTCGTTTATTAGAAATTCTAAAGGAGAAAAAACAAAGGTGCCAAAGAAGAGAAAATCATGAAATAAATGAGCACACGTCCTCAGATTGTGGGGCCGCCGTGGTCTGACTGGATCTGAAGGACAGACCTCCACCAGGTAGTGCAAGAAACTCCACAGCTTGCAGAGCAAAAAGAACCCCACTGACAGATAAGACATGTTCTGTGAAGTCAGAAGTCAGCTGACACTGGACTGCTCATTAGCAACACAGCTTCTAGAACACACGGGCACAGGGTCTTGAAGGTCTCATGGGAAAAGAGACCGCATTTGGAATTTTCTTCCCAGTTAAACTATCAATGGTACACTGTTTAGGGTTATTCTGAAGGTTAGTTTACTGGTCACAGGCCCTATAGGAAAAGCTGACCTAGGGGACTCTCCAGCAGAGGAAGGGGTCAAGAAACGGGACGTGGGAAGATAATTTAGCTTCTGTGACTATAAAATGAAATAAGTTATAGAGATTGTGCATGAAAATGCATTAGGAACTCCTACTTGGAAGAATCTCCTTCAACTGGTGAAACTTGTAAGATAAAACGTCCTATCTCTTTCTCCGTATTTCTAGTCACAAATCTGATATCCGTGATAAACAACATTCATGGAATGATATTGGAAATGCCATTTCTTTCCAAGTTTTAAAATCAACATGTAGACAAAGCTCATAAAATTATGTATAGTAGAAAGATAAATGTAAATTCTTAAACCTTGATTATTTTTTTAAATTATATGAAACAAAGGAAGGTGAGTGTTAAGAGGAGACAGTAGCCCTCTTCTGTCC